GGTGCAAACCCTGTAAAATCCCTGTGCGCGTGCATTCATCGCTAGATCAATCACGTCCCAGTCGCCATGGAGGCTCCACTCGCTCATACTGCCGATTGTGAAGTTCGTGGTGTTATTTGTTTTTTAACCGGAAAAGCAAAAATCCGACTGAAATTCATCGCAAGTTGTGTAGCGTGTAAGGTGAAGATGTTATGTCAAGATCAATGGCTGCTCGTTGGGGCCAATTATTCACTGATGGGAGAAAAACATTGCGCGATAAACAACGAAAAGGCCGGCCCTCGACTTCACGCACTCCGTGTGTTGCCAAGTATGTTCGAAGGATCTTGGATTCTGATTGGCGCCTTACGCTTGATGACATTTTTTATCAACTGCCTCCGAATATTGAGATAAACCGTGGAACATTTCACAGGATCATTTTTGAAGACTTGGGTCTAAAAGTGTGTGCAAGATGGGATCCACGCCTGCTTTTAGAACAACATAAAGAGGAGAGAGTTGGCGTTGCATTGCAGTTTCAGCAATTTTTCAACGATGAGGGAGACGGTTTATTCGGTCGAATAGTGACAGGGGATGAGACATGGATCCATTACTATACACCACGCGGTCGCCGTGCGGCTTCTTTGCCTCCTACAGCGGGGAACTTAGAAAAAAGAAAAGGAAAAACCGTACGATACAATGATTCTCTCGGCACAACTCGCGAGGAAACTTGAAATTACTCGCGATCGCTCGAAGTTTACGGCCAATATAATTCGCTGCACACGGTTCGAAAGCTTAGAAAATTTACTACAATTTCATTAAACTCAGAAAAAGAAAAACGCGGACAGTTTCGGACACGACACTTAGCCTTGATCCGGGGAGCCTTCAGCCTATTCTACAAGGCAATCGTGACCAGAACTTCCCTGTTTCTCCTCGGTTTTCCTACCCGTTGGATTCTTAACCCCTATCAAACAAAACGCGAATGCTCGCCCGAGCGGAACCACGGAAAGGCCGCCTCCATGACTCTCAGTCCGGCCGCCGGCACGAGACTTAAATCCGATTTCCCAATTTTACTCGCCCGCACGGATTTTCGAACAAGCCGCCTAGGCGTCTCCCAAACCTGCCGCTGGCACGAGATTTACGCCAGAGAAAAAAAAAAAATTACTCACCGGGCGCGAACGAAAGTCGCTAAATAACCTGGCCTTCTAATTCCTCCAAAACTATGCAGAAAATCCGACCGAAACACAGGAAATCAAACAATCTGAACGGATTCGATAATCTACTCTACTCAGAAGATTTACTTCATCTTTGCAATCTTTCTCTAAATGGCTCCCCTCGACCTCAGAAAACAGGCACTTACTTTTAGCAGGGCTATCGCCGCCGCTCGCCGACTAACCTGTTGTCTCTCTCGCACTCCTCGAGGTGACGATACGGGGCTGCGACATAGGCTCGGCGTACAGGAAATCAGGAAACGTAGAAAGCACAGCCGTTGATGCGTCCGGTCCGACGGTCCGTGGGCGCAGAAGGCCGGAGCTCTTGGAGTCCGGCTAGATGTAGGATTTCGGGCGATAACTCCGGAATCTTTAATTCCGGTCATTGGTTGGCTCAAGCGCTCCTCTGACACCCAAATTTCGGAAATCTTCGCGCACCGCGAAGCGCTAATTGGTGCTTGATGGATGGTGCGGGATGGGGTCGTGGTGGCAAGGGTGGTGGAGCGCGCTACACGCTCCTCCGGGATCAGGCCCGTCCTCGATGGTGGGTCCATCGGGGCTCCTGGCGAGCCGCTCTCTCCCCGAGCAGCCGTCTGAAATACTTACAGAGGGTTCCCCAGTCCACCCGGGTTACTTAAGCAAACCCGAGTTTTTCGGCGGCAACCGGTCAAACTCCTGGCCCGGAAGTCAGGCGTCCCGAGCGCCGGGCAATTATGGCCCGGACTTTTTTGTCCGCTCTCTGACGCAGTGACTTGGCCGGAAGCGGGCGTTGCCAGGACGCAGCATGCCGATGCCGATCCGCCGCCGTGCCGATCGGGACCGGGGAAAAATGCCAGGCCCCGTCCTCCGGCCCGGCTCCTGTCCGGTTAGTTCTGGTGTTCCTGCGGCCGGCTCACCTCTAGCCGCCAGGACTAACTGTGGGCCCGCCTCTGCAGGCAGGGCCGCCAGAGTGACGAAGATGGGGTCGGCCGGCTTCCCTCATGGGACCCGTCGTCACGATCGTGACTCCCCTCGGTGACACGCCCCTGCGCAGTCGCCAGCCGCTGCTTTCGAGGCGACTCTTGGAGCGGCGAGCGATGACGTAGCCGCGACCTCACGCCTTTCGGTCGACGCTTTTATCGTCCCGGTTGCTAACCGACTCTACGCAGGCTACAATAGATTTCTCGAATATTGCGACGTGAGTCGGCTTGCGCGATCGTTCGCGCACTGGGTTTGAGGTCGCGCCTGCAGTTCAATTGGGGCTCGCAGCTGGGGCGCGACGTCAGCGGGAGTGAAGTCCAGGGGCGTTGCTCTTCAGGGATCTGGTGACGCCAGTCCTGGACCCCCTTGAGCCAAAAATTTTCCTCTCGGTGTGACCAGGGGTGCCGGCATCCCCCGATGTGGCTCCTCCAGGGTGAGGGGATCGATGGGCCCTTCCGCCCTGCAACACCGCGCCCTAGCCTCGATGCAGGAGGGTAATGCAAATGGAACCCCCCCTCGCTGCCCTTGTAAGGACTCCCTTGAGTCATAGGTCACAGCGCGGGGGGGGGGGGGTCAGGGCCACCAGTAAAGCGCCTTCCTCCCGCCATCAGTGACGGGCCGAATGTTCGGGTGCGGACGCGATGACGGAGCGGCGCCGTCATGGGCCGGCCCTTGCAATAAAGAGCGGGGCCGAGGTTGGCTCAGCACGGCCCTACTCCGCGGGACTCCAGCATCTATGGAGGGCGGCGGGGAGAGAGGGGAGAGAGGGGGTTGCCACCGTGGTTGCTATTCCAGAGGTCCCTCGAAGACGCTCCTGTCTCGTGACAGTTGTCTGGTATGTTGACGATTCTTCTTGCCCGCATCCGTCTCATCACGAGGACTTCTTAACGGCGTTCACCACCAAAGTGGGGACGATGACTTCCACCGCTAGATGGCATTAGTATCGAATTCGGGGGAGGTAACCAAAACGTACTTTCTCGCTCGGATGAGGGAGACGCGACGCATAATGGGCGGTGTTTAGCAAGGGGCGAAAAATGTGTGCGTATTTTGCACGTATAGGACTCACACAACGGCTAGATGCCTCTGGACTAGGCGCCGAAACGTGTGTGACCACCGGCCGCACGCACACGCCAGTTGGACGCTCCGCCTAGAGTCGGCAACGGTTGCTAAGGAATGCCAAAATTCCTCTCGAGAAACTCGAAAATCCTGAAAAAGGTGCTCCACGGGGACAACGATTTTGAGCGTATTTCTCAACCGATCGAGCTCAACGAGTGCTCGTTTTAAAGATAAAATGTTGACGTGTGTTTATATGGGAGCGATTTTCGGTCGAGCACCTCCTTCCTAGGTAAAAGGGCATTGAAATTATGTCGTTGCACTTTTTTATATGAAAATGACCACTTATCGAAAATCGCTCCCATATAAACACAGGTCAACATTTCATCTTCGATATGAGCACTCGTTAAGCTCGATCGGTTTAGAAATACGTTCGGAATCGTTGTCCCCGTGAGGCCCTGCAAAATCGCTAGAGTGGTGAGCGCCCTTAACGGCTAATATATACGTAACTTATGAACTATAAGAAATAAAAGGCAGTCAACATAATAATTTGCCTCGTCGGCCTCGAGCGTTTTGAAACGAAAGGTTGATGAAATAAAATCAAATCAATTACAGTTTCACTCCCTTAGGCAATTATTTAATGCCGCTCAGTAATTAAAGATAATATAAAGTCCCTAGGACGATCGCCCACGGGGTGCATCGTCACAACACACATGATTTTGAGGGAAATTATAATTTTTTGAACAGATGTACGCGTATTTTATATGAAGCAATATGTATTGTATCATTTGGAAGAAAAATATTTAATTAGAGGTTTGGATGACATGATAGTTTTATTGTATTTAGCAAATGTAGTTGTTTTATACTACTTATGAAGCAAAAGCGATTTGCGCTCCTTTTATAATTAATTGAGGAATTATATGTATTCGAATACGTTTTTGTACATTTAAGGCCCTTACTCATATCTAAATTTTAGTGTTAAAAGATGTATTTGAGAGCACTGTTAAAAGGGACCCTACTCATGTGCCGCTTTTAAACCACTTTCATAGAAAAGTCTTGAAAGAAGCTATAAAAGAGATATTTTAGCAGCAATACCTACTCATACCCTCTTTTAAGCTTCTCTTTGAGTGCTTTTAGAATAAAAGTGAGCGGCGATTCCCAAAAAGTAGTTAGGGGGACTTATAAACCGCTTTTAGCCGTCAGAATCATACATCAAATTTTGATAGCTTTTAGTTGTCAAAATCGTACATGAAAAATGAAATTCATTAAAGACATTTTTCACAAAGTAAAAGCTCGTGAAGTGAATGCAGTGCATCAAATAAATACTAGGGAGTTTTTAAATCGAATTTGTGTCGTTCTTGGCTAACCAAGAAATTGAGCTTTGGTTCCGACTTTACTCTGTCAAACTCGCTTTCCATTTTTGCGGCAAAGTTCAGCAGACTCTGATCTTTTGGCATACGAAAAACGCAAGCACTGCCTATGCGAAGCGCATGTGCGTAACGCAGTCGTTACATTTTTCCGACGTTGTAATATTGCATTTTGTAAAAGCGGTCTTTTAAGTAAAAGCGATCATAAAACAAGGTATGAGTATGTCTTTTAGCAGTGGTTCGATCATCTTTAACAAAAAGACGTCTGAAAGCGCTGCTGAAAGTGAGGTATGAGTAAGAGCCAAAAACTCTAAAATAACTCGCATATTACAAATGAACAATGATTTTTACACATTTCTTGTACGGATTTTATTAATTTCATTTTCAGTTCATCACAATCGCAAAGGGTTACAAAACACATCGATATATTTTGCAGGATCCACAGGGCTGGAGAAACGTTTTCATCATGGCTGCTTGTGTTCACTTCTTCGGGGTAATCTTTTACGCGATATTTTGTTCTGGTGAACTTCAACCCTGGGCAGATCCGAACTTAGAAGAGCAGAAAGCATGGAACCCTTTAGACGAACTTAACCAGTCCAAACCTCCGGTACCGCCACCACCACAGACCGTCCAGACCAATTTTGTGGTAAGCGAGTATTTGTATTTCATGTCATGCTAGTATATGACTAAAGGTGGCTAAATACGTAATGATCAATCGTTGCGATGAATCTGTATAAACTGATCTGTGCACATGTAACTGGCGCACAGTGGAGTCAGATCTCAAAAGACCCGACAAAAATAGAAAACGGTTTCCAATTGAGTTGAAACTCGTTACTAGGGCGTTTTTGGGGTCTGTGACTAACAATCCGAAGTCAATATTAAAAAAAAAAACAAAATGGCGGACAAGTTTTCGACAAATACATTGAATTTAGCAACAATTCAGGACAATTCTCGCAACATCTTTTAGCAACAATTTAGGACAATTCTCAGATGATCAGGAGTGATGTGTCAAAGTTTCGGATAGTTTGGTCTAATATCCTTAAAAAAAAGTGTTGTATTCGAATCGACTGATTTGAAGGGGATTTCACTTCACCTTAAGGTGAAGTGAAACACGTCGAAGAACTTGATCGACATAGATAAAGAAGATTTTTCTAAATGCCTACGTTGCCGACGTTCGTGTTTATATTGACAGCTGTGACGAATTATATTGGATATTGTACCAAATGGCATACTTCACCTGTCGTTTTCGTACAATAAATATCAAGAAATCGAAGTAAAACTCCAGAAATTCTCTGGATTCATGCTTTCTGGGGCCCTAATTGACTGCGGAGGAATCCCCTGCGCCATCTGTGATTTCCAGATCAATTAAATTTTCACGCCAAGACCTCGTATTCCCATCGTTTTAGTATAGAAGCGCATACAAAACTTTTTTTTACCTTTATCTCGTTCAAATGCGAGTTTATCGATTACGAGAGTGATCTAAATTCTCGTAAAATTCTCCTCACCCTTCCGTTTCTCATATCAGAGCCTTCCATAAATGTATATTGATCGAAATATAAGAGCTCGACGCCATTTTGGTTCCGGTCTGGACTAAGTTAACAAATTTTGTTACAAAATCCAAATTTTTAATGTGTCAGGACAATTCTCAGATGATCAGGAGTGATGTGTCAAAGTTTCGGATAGTTTGGTCTAATATCCTTAAAAAAAAGTGTTGTATTCGAATCGACTGATTTGAAGGGGGTTTCACTTCACCTTAAAATGACGTTAAGGTGAAGTGAAACACCCTTCAAATTAGTCGATTCGAATACAACACTGTTTTTTAAGGGTAATAGACCAAACTGTCCGAAACTTTGACACATCACTCCTGATCATCTAAGAGTTGTCCTGACACATTAAAAATTTGGATTTTATAACAAAATTTTTTAACTCAGCCCAGACCAGAACCAAAATGGCGTCGAGCCCTCATATTTCAATGGATATACAATTATCGAAGGCTCTAATATGAGAATCGAAAGTGTCAGGACAATTTTACGACAATTTAGAACACTCTGATAATCGATAAACTCGCATTTGAACGGGATAAAGGCAAACAAAGTGTTGTATACGCTTCTATGCCAAAACGATGGTAATACGACGTCTCGGAGTGAAGATTTAATTGACCTGGAAATCACAGATGGCGCAGGGGGTCCCTCTGCAGTCAATTAGGGCCCCAGAAAGCATGAATCCAGAGGATTTCTGGAGTTTTACTTCGATTTCTTTATTATTATTGTACGAAAACGACAGATAGAGTATGCCATTTGGTACAATACCCAATATAGTTCGACACGGCTGTCAATATAAAAACAAACGTCGGCAACGTAGGCATTTAGAAAGATCGTCTTTATCGACGTTGATCAAGTTCCTCAACGTGTTTCACTTCACCTTAACTTGCTGCTTTGATGGAGACTGACGTAAATTTAGTTGTCTGCACTGGCATTCTCAACTTGATTTGCGCTTGATTTTAATGGTCTTGTTTATTTATTTTCAGAAGCAACCGTCTTTGGGCGGAGCTCCAACCGATTGGAACGATTACGAGCAGCCGCCAGCTGTGGATCAGTATACGTATGTGCAGCAAGAGAAGATAGATACAAATCAGGTGATCAATTATGGATCGACCGAAACCAATCCCAGCAATCCATTCCATTCGACAAATCCTTTCGTCAGCGAACTAAATACCTCGCTGGTGCAGCCACCACCGAGGGACGACCATACATATGACGTCATGCAGAATCAAGGATGGAATTGAAGAAATTCGGCATATCGGTTGATCAAAATGGTTCAAATCAACAATTAATCAGATCTTCGGTTATCTATCACGGTCGATAATGTGGAATAAGAAGTCCCAACTAGCAATTCGAGTTTGATAATCGATACTTTTTAGCGTTTAAAACCATGATGAATTCTTACATCAGTACTCGTTTTCAAATGATATAACGACGATGTACAAGATGAAAAGTAGTCGTAAGGAATTAACGGAAAAGATACGATTCTTTGACGACAGATCGAATACAAGGAAAATGGCACCTGAAGAAATGACAATATTGTTTATCTGTTGAATAATCTTAACCAAAATGAAGTCTGCTGACTCAATTTACAAATATTGTCCTCCAGTGGTTTGATATAAGTTATTAAAAACACACATGAAAGTATAATTATTCCTTTGAAAAGGAGTAAGGAAAGAAATCAACAAATTGAGTAAAATGTTCAATACCGTCTATTATTTTATAGGTTAAAAGTTATAAATAAAAAAGGCTATGGTAAGATATGGAATACCATAACTGATCATAAAGAAAGCGACTTTAAGAATTCAGGGAGAACATAAAGACGAATTGTAGGATAAAAATGTTGGAACTTTCCTTTATACTTTACATTGTGGTGTAATGGTTTGATTATCGACCTCGTAACCGATCGCCCTAAATGGGATTCGAATTGCAATCTGTACCACATTATCGATTGTGTTCGATTTCTGAAATTGTCTTGTTGATAAGAAAGCAGGTAATACCTAAAAGAACGGAAAATAGTGCTTAAGTTTATCGTAACTTGAATGAAAAGACCTACGAAAAAACGTCCTCTTGGCAAGACTTGAAACATTGACAAAATTCTAGTATGCAAAAATGTAACGCTATACAAAATAGCACTGCTCTCATTATTTCAGCCGTTGATACTATTTTATTTTGCGATGCAAGCATGATTAACAAGTCTTTTCGCTGCTGTTTTCGGTACTTATTTGGCTTTTTTTTTCAACGGTGAACATAAAAAAACAGGGGTCGTACAAAAATGAGCCTCAAAATGTTCTAACATGAAAAGTGCCCATATTTGCACTCGACGCACATGCGAAAAGACGCGGGACACATGCTTTTGTTATTTAACCTTCTGACTGCGAAAAGAGTATACAGGTTATAACAGAACTCGCAGTCATGGTTTATACAACGCTATCCTTGTTGAAAAGGAGTCGAAAAATCCTGTAATATGTTTTCCTACAGTGCATAAATTTCCTGTAGTAACTAAGTGAAACACAGCCAATCAATCGCGTTACCGAACGGCAGACGTAGCGAAGAGGACGCCGGAAAGGCTGCTACGCCGCAGACAGCCGATTACCGAACGGACGTAGCGGAGAGGACGCCGGAAAGGCTGCTACGCCGCTGACAGCCGGTTACCGAACGGACGTAGTGGAGAGGACGCCGGAAAGGCTGCTACGCCGCAGACAGCCGATTACCGAACGGACGTAGCGGAGAGGACGCCGGAAAGGCTGCTACGCCACAGACAGCCGAACGCAGGCCTACCAGCGTCCTCTCCGCTATGCGTCTGTTCGGAAACGCGATTGGAAGGCTGTGCTTCACTTAGTTGTTACAGGTAATTTATGCACGGTGGAAAAAAATAGTACAAGGCTTTTTGACTCCTTTGTCAACAAGGATAGTGCTGTATAAACCGGGATTACGAGTTTTGTTACACCCTGTATATACACGCCTAACATTTGGCCCACTTAGTGCTTGCACACGGTCACGAATTTCGGTCAACGTACGTCAAAAAGGCTTAGCGGTTAGAAGGTTAAAGTATCTTGTACATCTCCTGAGGCAAGGTTTTTTACGCCTCGCGTGTTCGCAATACTTGTCTTCGGCTCATGAATGTGTGCTCGACTTGTGCTCATGCGTTCGCGAGCCTACGACTTGTATTTCAAGATCGCGCTAAATGTAAAAAGCCCCACTTTTCCTCCTGGGTATACAATGTACTATTAATATCTTATTATCCTATAGTTTTATGCAAATTTTCGGGTAATAAGTGTTTGATAATATTTATCCCTAAGGTTGGGGTAAGTATTAATGTATGTTTCACATTTAATCGACATACCAAAATTATCTACAATTAGCAACTTAAACTTTTATGTTGATATTTACGGTAAGGTGCTTCCGATATTGTTATAATTTATTTATTTATGCTTAAAATAATAACAGGAACATGACTTAGTTAAATAGAATATTTGAGTTGAATCAAATGTAAAATTAGAGAAATCGAAGTCCTATCAATTGATTTAAACGTAGTTGATTCAATGAATTTTCAAGTCTTGCCACCTGTGACGGCCTCCTACGATAAGATAGATCGTTCCCCCTTTAATATATTCTTGTTTAGTACAAAATTATTATTTTTTAAGAGTAGACTAAGAGCCACTTTACATCGACTCTGGTTTGAACATAAATTTTCGTAACTGTATAAAATAGAAATTACTTAAAGTAACATCGAAATGGTTAAAGTTCGTAAATTAGTCAGAATGGTGGTAAGAATTCCACATTACTTACTTTCACCGTGGATTCGATGTTACATATATGGTTGTATTTTATACTTTCACTTTCAAACAAGATTGAGTACTAACGGTAAAATTCGAATAATTGAGAATTATGCTTAAAACCGATATAACAGTCTCAATATTAATGAAAATGTGATAGGCGCACAATGAGGTAACAATTAACGCGCTCATTTCTCTTAATATTTTTTCATAAATCTTTAAACAGAAAAGTATGTAAAGCAAAATTCATCGATATGAACTAAAGGAGTGACAATAACTTCTAATGTTTACCGACAATAAAATGAGGGAAGGGAAAAAGATCCTTGCAAAAAAGTCCCCAGATTTAAGTGCCATTGACTGAGACTTTTAGATATTGCTTAAGATCGATCGTAAAAAATGTCGAGTAAAAGGTAATAGGAAAATGAAGCAATAACTGATAAGTTTAAACGATTACTAGAAACGATCTCGGTGGGGAAAAACAATCGGTGAGAAAGAACGAGACGAGGCATGTTATCGACTGACATATAGTGAATAAAAATCAGTCGATATGATGGAATGTCGAGAGACAGATATAAAAAAACTTTGAGATAGAAGTGGGAAAAAATTCACTTAAAAAATGGGCATTATAGGGATGGTTCATGTCGACCGCGAAAAAGCCGAAATAGCAAACGGTGAGATTATGTATCATATAAATAATGTTCTAGAGCCTGAAACAGAACGTACTCACCGTAACGAAACATACGCAAAAAACGTGTATACACATGTACATCCGCGCCCATATAACGAAAGAATTATTTCAGATGATTTGATATTGAAACGTATGAAAGTACTCATAGGAAAGTGATGCCAAACATGAAAGTACTAGTACGATAAGAAGGTCTTCTTTGATGAAGGAAAGTCAAAAATCGCGATTTAAATATTGCGAGGATTTGGGAGACAATACGTTATATGTAATACTAAACAACAATAAGATGCCTCTCGTATAAATTAAACACACGCGCGTCCACGCATTTAACAAAGTTGCGGTTACCCAGATGCAGTCATGAAGTTGTATTCCTGTCTGGTAATGATTTAAACTTATTTATGACTTATACTGTCCGTAGCTTGACACGACTTCATTTGGATAGTCCAATAAATGAACCCGATCAATGCGCTTCAGCGCGCATTGAATGAAATAAACGTAACTCGGTAATTACACGGCGCTTCCCAATTATGTCGGACGTAATCGCAACTTACAAGTGCGTTATATCCTACGGTCTCGTGTACCTATGTATCCCGAGAAGGGACAAATGAAAGTACACAAATGATATGTATGACTATATGTGAAGAAAGTATTATTTAAACGAAAGGTGTAAATTAAGAGGGAAGCAACAGATTGTGTAACATATTGAACAGATCCCCTTTCGGTTGCCGGAGATTCGCGAAATTAGTCAATTTCTAAACGAACGTTAAGAGAGAAATATATAGATAAATAAACAAATATATATAAATAGAAACATAAGTATATGCAAATTTGTCGGCATGTACAGGATGCTAGAACAATCTGGAAATGGTGAAATATTTTGAAAACGAAATATTTTCAAGAAAAAAGTTTCAAAAGTTCCATAGAATAAGGTCATACCCATTTGACCTTGAATGGATGGTATCAAGGTCAACGTGATTTTTTTAACGGAATAACCAATTTTTATTAGACAGTGTTCAAGCTCCATAGTAAGGTCGTACTAAAGTACAGTTTAATTATATATTTCTATTGAGTATTGCCTTAATTATGAGCTTTAGAATTTACAGTATGTCCAATATTTGCATTTTTCAGGATGCACTGCGTGAAGACTGCATTGTTGGGTTTAATATCCCTACGTCTGCGCAGGCGCGTGGATGGCTATGTACTTCACTTGATTAGATGTTCAAATTGTCTTCAGTCTGCTGTTTGACGATATGCATGTATTTCCATCGAACAATTCGTCAATAGTAAGGATTACATTTGCACATTGGATTACGTTGGATTACATAGTAAGGATTACAATTTTACAATAAGTCCATATACTTGTTGGCATTTAAATTCCCATCGATGAAAAAGAGCCCGATAATACCACGTTTTCAAACCCCTGCCCAAATATTAACTTTTTGGAGGTACTCTGTACGCAAAAAGCGCATCCAGTGAGGATTCTCGTACCCCATACACCCACGCACACACACTCACACTCACACACACATACAAAGGGTTGACTATGCGATGCATTTCGAATAATGCTAATACTGCCGACACCGTAATTTCTAAAGCTCATAACTCAGGTAATACTCAATAGAAATATGTCATCAACCAATGTCTTGAAAAGACCTTACCATCAGCTTGAACACTGCCTGATAAAAGATGAGATATTTTATTTACACTAATCATGCTTCCTTAATGTTTCCGTGAACATTCCCCTCAAGATCAAAGGGATATAACTATTCCATAGGACTTT